AAAAAAAAAAAAAAAGAACTCATTCCAAACCTTCCACACCTCGCGTATCTCACAAACACCACAAACTTCTATTTAGACACAATTGCATAGACGACTTAGATCAGCAGTAAGTAACGCCTGTGTACAAATACGGGAAGCCGTATTTCGAAAGTAATCATTCCGTTTCAATTGTGTTTTAGGGAAGGTGTCTGCGGCAAGAGGATCCTCACCACGGATTCCTCCGGTCGGTTCATCGTTGGCAAGGACTCGACGCCCATGCAACTTTGGCAGCACGTCGATTCCAATGGTAAATTGCACTATTCGTTGATGCCCGCGTCGAACGACGCCAAGAAGAAATCGGAAGAAGAGGACGTTTCCCCCACTCTGGTTAAAATGGAGGACGAGGAGCAACAGAACAACATTGGGAATCGTTACGTGGACGATTGCGTTCACTTGTGCGAGGTGGCCATCGACTTTTACACTTGCGATAAGTGCAGTATGAAGTTTCCTGCGGAGAGCATGTTGAACAGACACAAGATCTCTCACAAATTGAATCTATCCCGGCTTCGTGGAAAACGTTCGAGCAATGGCCACAGGTTGAAAAGAACGTCGGGAAGGGAGTGTAAGAAATCGTCGAGGAAACGAAGATACGATTGTACGTCGTGTGACTTTAGTTGCGGTAAGAGGTGTTCGTTAACTGTCCACGTGAGAAAGAAGCATGGGCTTGCTTCGGTCAAGGAAGATTCGAGTAAAATCTTGTGCGTGATTTGCGAAAGAAAATGTGACACTCGGTCTATCCTGAATAAACACATGGAGGGGCACAGGGACGGGAAAACGAGTTACTTCATGTGCAACAATTGCAGTTTCTCGTGTAAAAGGAGCAGCACTATAGTTTCTCACGTGGTGCAGAATCATCAGAAGTCGGATATCGGGGAAAGCAACTCGAGGAAGAGGTGCAGGGTGGTTAAGTGCAACGATGAACCGAAGGAGGTGAAGGAGGAATCGAAGGAAACGTGTTCAGAGAGAGATAAATATGGTTCGAGCACCACACCGTCCGAGTTCGAATGCAAAAGCGAGCCTTCTGTCACCACTCGCGCGACCAAGAAACAGGTTAAGAAGCCTGTGGTCGAGGAACAGTGCAATCTCTGCGACTTCAAATGTTCGAAAAAGAGCACTTTGTACTCGCACAAACGCCAACACAAAATCATGGAGATCAGCGACGTGTACTCTTGCAACGAATGCATATTCAAGACCAATAAAAAGTCGTCTCTGTACTCGCATATAAAAAGGAAGCACAAGGTGGCGAAATCGTGCGCGTCCGATGGCCAGCCGCAGTTATTCTACTGCAACCAATGCGACTACAAGAACAAGAACAAATATGAATTAAAAGTCCACGTGGCCAGAAAGCATACGGATGATTTCAAGTTCTCGTGCGAGACTTGTGGCAAGAAATTCAAAGTGAAAGGTGATCTGACTAACCACATACGTTTCAGCCATAAGGAACAACCGGTTATCTGCGATGTTTGCGGGAAAACGTGTCTGAACAGCAACTCTTTGTACGTGCACCAGAAATTCGCCCATTACAAGGCTAAATACGAGTGCCAGGTGTGCAAGAGGCGGATGGTCACTCAGGAAAACTTGAACGAACACATGATTAGGCAGCACGAGAAGAGGGAGAACGTGGTTTGCGAGGAGTGCGGGAAAACCTTCTCCAGGAACAGCAGATTGAAAGTCCACATGAGGATCCACACCGGCGATAAACCGTACACCTGCACTATATGCAACAAATCGTTCGCGCGTAGAACAGCGTTGAAACAACATTTGTTAATTCACACTGGGATCAGGCCTTATGTCTGTGACATATGCGGTAAGGCGTTCACACAGAAACCTGGATTGATCAGCCACAGGAAGTCGCATCCCGGCTCGCATCCTCCACTTCCCAGGGTGTTGATCGATCATATACTGAACGAAGTAATGAACAATTGAGATTGTTCAAAAATAATTAAAGTGGTCGTTCAATACCGTGAATGGAAATGATGAACGTTGTCTTGTGCAATTAGTGTTTTTTTTTGATTTGTCTTATTGTTAGCGGACTATGTAAAGGATTAAGATACTTTCAAGATATTAAAATAGGGATATACAGATTATCTGTGTTATTTTTACAGTTTATTAGCTTTATTAAAACCTCGCTATGGAGATTTACAATTTTATGTATAAAGGGATACTTTGTATAAGTACCATTATAATGTACTGTATGTTGCTGAGAATGTAGAAGAGATGAGAAAAGAAATATTTAATTTTTCGTTTAATTATGAGTTAATACTTTGATTTTGTTTTTTGCTTCTATCATCTTTTTTTATCTAACGATTATCTATTAAGCCAACAATCTGAATTTCATCTCTCAGATTTTCTCTCAGTGACATAGAGTGGCGCTTTGAAAGCATTGAAATGATTGTTTAAATCTTAAAATTGCATATCTTAAATTATTTATAAAAGTATATATATGATTCTCTTGTTTCCATCTACGTTAAAATCGTTATTGAACAATTTCGCTCATTTATAACACTCCAGATGTATATAACTGTCTGTAAAACGCATTACAAGATCTTTTTTATGTAATATATCCAACATTGAATTGAAATATTGTTGTACGTACAATAGGATTTATAATCTTCTTCTAATCTTCATTATAATTTCATTACAGTGAAATGTTTATTGATGATGCAGAAAAACTCCTATATCTTTGTTTGACTAATATCCTGTTATTTTACAATATTACTTACACAGAAAAATTGGACAATTTGTCTACAATTGTAAGTCTGATATACTTGTTCTTCTTTCTTTGTGTGGAAATTCTTTGCCTTAGATTCCTCGTGATCGCAATTACAGATTATCATGTACGAATAAAAATTTCATTCGCGACATATTTAAAGAAAAATAGTGGAAAAAAAACTGCAGGCGACACACACAGAATAATCGTCGTCCTGTTTTCGAAGTACCTAACTGACTATTCTGTACTTTTCAGGATTCTAAACGGGGATGGACGTTTTATATACGGGAAGGAATCGATTCCAATGCAGCCTTGGCAAATTGTCGACGTAGAAGGTTGCCTCTACTATGCCTTCCTTCCGACGAATCAAACGCCAAAGCTCGCCGAACGGGAGAGAACTGTCGCAAAATCGGCGGACGACAGTCCGAGGAACAGCGAGGGGGAGGAGACTTTCGTGATCCCGGCCGAGGACGAAACAGGTGACAGCGATCTGTGCCCAATTAAAATAAAGAAAGAGGACATTGACGACGTGTCATCGTCGAACGAGGATAATTACGACGACGCCAAAGGATACGCCTGCGAGGAATGCAACATCTGTTTCCCGGTGATGCAGATGTTGAAACGGCACAGGAACGCGGTCCACGAGCAGGCCCAGCGATACAAATGCAAGGTCTGTTTCAAGATATGCCGTAGCCTGGTCGCGTTCAAGATGCACGTGGCCCTGGAGCATAAAACGGAGGAGGAAGAGGTGAAAGATTCCGAGAGTCTGACTTACGCCTGCAACTATTGCAACTACGAGAGCACGAACAAGTCCACCCTCCATTCGCACATCAGTAGAAAACACTCGACGAAACGTATTGGGAGGAGGAAAAGTAGTTACAGGTACACGAGCGAGCCGGAAGAGTACTCGTGTGACGTGTGCGAGTTCAAATGTCAGAATCGGCGCAGATTGAAGGAACACTTGGAACGGAAACACGCGTCAGAGTACAAGTACGACTGCGAGTATTGCGGGAAGAAGTTCAAGGTGAAGGGGGACATGAGGCTTCACGTGCGTTTCAAGCACAAGGAGGGGCCTATCGTGTGCGACGTTTGCGGGAAGACGTGCTCGAACAGCAATTCCCTGTACGTGCATCAAAAGTGGGCCCATTTCAAGCCAAAGTACGAGTGCGAGATATGCAAGAGGCGCATGGTGACCCAGGAGAACCTCGATCAACACATCTTATTGCAGCACGAGAGACGGGAGAGCTTCGTATGCGAGGAGTGTGGAAAATCGTTCACTGAGAATCACAGATTGAAACAGCATATGATGACTCATACCGGGGACAGACCTTACGATTGCCACATATGCGGCAAAGCTTTCGCGCGTAGAACGGCTTACAGGCAACACTTGCTTATACACACGGGCAAACGGCCGTATATCTGTGATATCTGCGGTAAGACGTTCACGCAGAAGCCTGGCCTGATTTGTCACCGGAAGTCGCACCCAGGAGTCCATCCTCCCCTACCTGTGGTGCACATAGAGCACATCCTTAGCGATTTCATGAAGAAAGAATGATGTTGCGGCGGGACTGAATCGCGTATGTCGTGTACATTTGACGCCGGTGGTGTGATGACACGTGACGTGAGGAAGATGAGAGGTGTTCTTCTTCCCATGCGGAGGAATCCTTTCGTGTTCTTTTCATCCAAGATTTTATATTAGCTAATTTAATTGATGAATTTCGAACTGTTAAATCGATTGTCGAGTTAATTAATTAATAGTAGGTAGAAGAAGAGAATCGGTCTTCCTCGATTAATTGTTAACGCGTTCTAATCACACTGCGTTAAATTTTCCGTTGATGGAAATGGAAAATTGCGAGGAGCGTAAATCATTGTTCGCGCAATCATTACGCTACACAATTTTAAATATTTAATTTTTTTTAACTGATTTGAACCAACATTCAAGTTTGAGGTTTTTTCAAGCGATCGATATTGCCCATGTTTTTATTCAATTTCGTACGCATATTCGAATATAGGAATAAAAAGTAATTTTGTACGATTTCGTTTGTGTAAGATCGATGTTC